GCGGCCATGTGCTCACAAACATAAACAGGATGTGACCATGAGCTGAGTTTAGCACGGGGCATTCCTGACCCACTGCTAACAGCAGCTGTGAGCTAATGGGGCGTAAATAGCCCAGTGTGTGTGGGGGGGGGGGAGGGGCAGGACAGCTGGGGGGTATAAAAAGCAGAGGAGTCCTGTGTGATGTCTCAAACTACCAACAACAAGGAAACCTCTTCACTGGAGCCTAAGGAGATCTCAGAGGCACAGTTTTAGGTTTTTAAGTCAGAAGCTGCCCTCCGCCGCCGCCATGATGTCCCAGAATGCATCTCTGAACAGCCTTTTTGGCGACGACCCTTTCTTCAGCTCGGACCGGCTGCTGTGGCCCATGCGTCCGGCGCCGCTGTCCTCCTCCCTGCAGCAGGACTTCTTCAACCAGAGGACCAAGATGGCCGACAGCCTCCTGAAGGAGCTGCACGACGGGCCCCACATGCTCAATTTCAACCAGTTCCCCCTCATTTCCTCCACTATGGCCAGGTACGTTCAGCACATGAGATAAAGAGATCTTTGAAACCGTCTTTATATGATCAAAGAGAGGGAGGGGAATGGTTTTTACGGGCATGTTAAATATTCTTCAAAACTAACACTGGTAACCAAATATCAGAAAATGAGATCAATAGATGTCTCAACCGACAATAAAAAGTAGAAATGATACATTTTACGATGAAGCATCACACTTTGAGCCAATCATGTTTTACATTCATCTACCTGCTGAAATGAACCAGTTGTATCTCATTTCCCTCACTTTGGTACGAACAGTACATGTGGGACTCAGTTACAGGTTTCAAACCAACACGTCTCAGTTGGTCGCACCAGCACATCTTTGGTTGCATCCTTCTTTTGGTAAAACATGGTGTAAATCATGGTGTGAGGACTCTTTAAAGTAGAGAGACTACATACTGATATACACCTGAACATCAGCAGGAGAGGACTCTTTAAAGTAGAGAGACTACATACTGATATACACCTGAACATCAGCAGGAGAGGACTCTTTAAGTAGAGACACTACATACTGATATACACCTGAACATCAGCAGGAGAGGACTCTTTAAAGTAGAGACACTACATACTGATATACACCTGAACATCAGCAGGAGAGGACTCTTTAAAGTAGAGAGACTACATACTGATATACACCTGAACATCAGCAGGAGAGGACTCTTTAAAGTAGAGACACTACATACTGATATACACCTGAACATCAGCAGGAGAGGACTCTTTAAAGTAGAGAGACTACATACTGATATACACCTGAACATCAGCAGGAGAGGACTCTTTAAAGTAGAGACACTACATACTGATATACACCTGAACATCAGCAGGAGAGGACTCTTTAAAGTAGAGAGACTACATACTGATATACACCTGAACATCAGCAGGAGAGGACTCTTTAAAGTAGAGACACTACATACTGATATACACCTGAACATCAGCAGGAGAGGACTCTTTAAAGTAGAGACACTACATACTGATATACACCTGAACATCAGCAGGAGAGGACTCTTTAAAGTAGAGACACTCCATACTGATATACACCTGAACATCAGCAGGAGAGGACTCTTTAAAGTAGAGACACTACATACTGATATACACCTGAACATCAGCAGGAGAGGACTCTTTAAAGTAGAGACACTACATACTGATATACACCTGAACATCAGCAGGAGAGGACTCTTTAAAGTAGAGACACTACATACTGATATACACCTGAACATCAGCAGGGGAGGACTCTTTAAAGTAGAGACCCTACATACTGATATACACCTGAACATCAGCAGGAGAGGACTCTTTAAAGTAGAGACACTACATACTGATATACACCTGAACATCAGCAGGAGAGGACTCTTTAAAGTAGAGACACTACATACTGATATACACCTGAACATCAGCAGGAGAGGACTCTTTAAAGTAGAGACACTACATACTGATATGTAAGATAAGTAAGACTCTAACTCAAGTAAAATATCAGAGTAGTTATTCCTCCACGTCCTCAGACAGCAGTAGAGACTTGAGCAGGTTCTGGTTCTGATCCAGACTCTGATCCAGACTCTGATCCAGTTTCTAACCCCGGTTCTGGTTCTGTTTCAGGCTCGGTGAGGGCTCCTCTCTGCAGGCCGCCGCCTCACAGGAAGTTCAGCCGGCGACAGGAAGTGACCTCCTGGTGACTCTGGACGCTCGAGGTTACGCCCCTAGTGACATCACTGTGAAACTGGAGGGGCGGAGCTTAGCGGTGGTGGCCATGAAGCAGGGGGGGGCGGAGGACAGCCAGACCGTGAGCTCCGCCTCGTCCCGGGCCTCCTTCAGCTCCTCCGCCTCCGCAAAGTCCGGTTTCGTCCAGAGGATCGACCTACCGGCTCACCTGGACATCAGCCGCCTCTCCTGTGAGCTGATGGGTGACGGACAGCTGCGGATCCACGCCCCCTCGGCCCAGCAGCCAATCAGCGGTGAAGAGGAACAACAGGAAGTGCCCGGCCGCTTCAGATCGTCACTGGAGTTTCCCGTCAGCAAGGAGAAGAGCGAAGAGAAACACTGATGCACACACACACACAGACACACACACACACACACACACAGACACACACACACACACACACACAGACACACACACACACACACACACACCGAGAGACTGTCGTTGAAGAGTAACGTTTACCATTACTAAATGAAGATAATATTCATTTTATAATTATTTGCTGTTTGTATGAACTGTTGAAATTGAATAAAGTTTGATTTTCAGAAAAATATATTTGTAATAGTCCGGGGGTTATTACTGTCAACAGTCTGTAATTCACCTTGGTGACCAGCAGATGGAGCCAGCTGCCAATGAGGAGAGAGGAAGGCTGTGGGCCAATATTCAATAAATCATCTCTTCCGTCCTTTCCTAACCACTTCTCCTTAACCTGAGAAAAGTTGATGGGTTTAAAGAGGACCTATTCTTCTTCTGTGGTGTTCCCTCTCCTATAGTGCATGTAAATGGTCTGCAGAGGCTAAAATCCCTGTGTTCCTCTGGAGGGGTTATTTAGGGGTCATATCTGTAAATACGTGCACGTGCAAAAAGATGAACAAGGACACTAAAGTTAGAAATGTGTTTTAATAAAATATAATAAAATGTATATTCAACAGAAAACACTTCAATTAAACATAGAGGGAAAGATTAACAATGCATTAGACGGTAACTAAATGAACAAGTCAGACCCGACATGATGTTGTACATTACCATCCATTATTGTTTCATTAAAATGTGTAATTTAGGCATTAAAACTTCTCATAAAGAGGAAAAAAGGGAGACATTAAGCTTAAGTTTGATGTTGACTATCGAGCTCTTGATGCTCCATGACCTTAGTAATTGAGTTTTGTAATATCACATGAATAAGACGACACCTAAATCTGAAGACTAAAGAAACATGCATGAACTAGTTTTGCTAAAAGCTAATTTGCCTAGCTTAGCAGCGTAGCAGTTATTACCAGCGACGTGCAGTCAGGGGAGGCAGGGGGTGACAGCCTCACCTGTCATACTCCAATGTAACGGGAAAAAAACGAAATAATAATCAAATGTCTCCACTGATCTGTGTTGTAAATGTGATTTCTGTATGATTCCAATCGCTTTTTATTGTCAAAATTGTCAAATTTGCCGAGCTCCGCTACAACTACACGGGAGCGATCATCAGCGATGAGAAGTGAGGCAGGGACGAGCTCTGCCTCACCTTACCCCACAGTAACTGGCTGGAGCGCGGGCACTAATTTAGCGGGAGCACTTGTTTTGTGCCCGCGCTCCAGCCAGTTACTGTGGGGTGAGGTGAGGCACAGATGAGATCTGCCTCACCTCAGAATGCGTCACCCCACAGAAACTGGCTGGAGCGCGGGCACTAAGCGCATGCCTGTTACCATCTCACTGTAGGTCACACATGTAATGTTTGTAGATCCCTTTATATAGTGGGAATGCTGATACAGCATTCCCACTATATGTTATGCTACGGACAAAAAGTTTATTATTATTCCGTCCAATTATGTTGTCCGTCTTCTCCTCCCACATTCAACATCGCAGAAACTCCGTTCAAACATCAAAACGTTCAGCTCGGTCGGGAATCGATGGCTATTACTTTTCTCATTCATAACTTTCATAATTCCAGAGATACATCCCATAATACATCACATTTTTAACATTGAAGTCAATGGAGATATTCTTCAGACTTCAACAAATCTTCATGCGACTTCAACTGCTAACTGTTCGTTCATACTTTCACTCAGAAACCTCATTCCAACTTTAAAATGTTACACATCTTTCTGACATTATTCGTCTAACACAACTTTTAAATCTGATTCTTACTTTTAGAGATATTAAACATTGTTCAGACCTTGTTAAAGAGGCTTTCTTCAGATTTTAACATTAACTAGAATGCGTGATGTCACAGCTAGAGGGTAAGAAATCTTGAAATGTGCCCAAACCCTACATTCCTGAGACATAACTTTTCATGACAAACGTAGGAAAACATCTCGTAGCTTGAAAAATGACAAATAATTAAGCAAAATAATTAAACAAAATGCCTCTTGAGGGCATGAAGTGACAAAAACGTTCAACATGTCTCCATTAAAGCCCATTGTAATTTCAGGCAGATATTTCCTCACAGCAGCAGCCGCACACCTTTCTTAAACTGAGCCCACAGGTTCTTGTTGCTACTGTTATTCTACGCAGAGACGGTAGACGCAAACAACAAACTAGACTTTTTAAACTACAGGAAGATAAGGAGGACTTTTACAAAACAGTAATGGAGATTGTTGTCCAGAAGGATAGCATGGACTTCATCTTCAAGTCAAGGTAAGACCACAACTGTAATGAAAATGGGATCTTACTAAGAGAGAACAATCCAATATTTAGATTTGGGTATCCTTTTGTTGAACGGTCTGTTTGAAATGAATCGAAGCATCAGACTAAAAAAGCTTTTGAAAATAACAGAATATTTCGATTAAGGTCAAAATATAATATTTGTAAACCTGGCTCTGAAAGAGTCAGTGCCTCACCAGCCATGAACCTCACCGCACATCCCTGGTTATTAGCATCTCTGATTCCACTTTCTATCTTTCTCTCCAACTGATCTGTACACATTTAGAAACCTGAGTAGAAATGCAGAAAATTCAGATTCGGAACATAATGGCGGATAAATGAACACCAAATAAACGAATGCTAAAAGCAAACTAGCCTAGCTTAGTAGCATAAATACCCAATCACAGATTTGGTCACGTCATACACTCTCTACACTATTTGGCTTATTGTATTTATTTATTGTCCTGACAGTTATATAGCTTACTTCATCTGAACTACTTGCACACTTGACTGCAACACAATTCTTGCACTATTTTTATTTGTGTTTTATTATTGTATGTCTTGTATAACTTGGTTGCATCGTTGGAGGACTTCTGGACTGAAGCTTGTCATTGTTAACCCTTCACTGTAGCTGCTGTGCACATGACAGCAAAGCCTTTGAATCTTGAACCATTCAACTGGGTTATAATGATAGTATTGTTCCTTCATTGGTCAAACAGGTACGCCCTACTTTGGTCACAGCTAAATTGGAGGACAGATTAGATTTAAAACAACAAAATGTGATATTGGTTCCTGCCTTGTAATCTCAATGCTACAACTTTGATAAACAGCAGTGCAGTTTAATAAGGTGTATGAAATAATATAATCATGATAATGACAACTACTCTCTTCTCCTGAGGCTTCATCTTCTCTATCATAAACCCTGTGTTTACTGAGACTCTGTTGGACTCCTCAGAAGTTCTGATACACATCCTCATCCTCATCCTCATCCTCATCCTCATCCTCATCCTCATGGTCTCCACTAACGACTTGCTCACTAAGGACTACGTTAACGTAATCATCCTCATCGTCACTGGATTCTCTTTCCTCTCCGTCCTCTTTGCCCTCTCTGAAGTTAGCGCAGCTCTCTTGCTGCTCGTAGACATCGATGTCCTCTTCCTCTCCTCGTCCTGACTTCTGTTTCTTCTGCGCGACCAAGTCATCCACGTTCACATAGACGTTCTCCTCTTCCTCATCTTCCTCTTCATTGTATTCATTGATGGCTGTGACCGACACTGAAACACAGGCAGGAGGTGTTTCATGGAGATCAGATTTAATTCTTTACGCCTTCAAACTAAGTTAACGCTCTCCAGGTTGCTAAGGGTCCGTATTGTGTCAGACTTCAGAAGTCATGTTATAATAAAGTTACCCTCTGGTTCCTCTCTCCAGTTCATCAGACATCTCTTTATCGATCAACACCACGCGTGTATTTGTTTGATCTCCAAAATACATGTAAATACTGTGATTTACAGGATTCAGTATTTATTTGATTGAATACACAAGCATTGGATGAAACTGTTTTGTGACTCCTTGCATGTACTTTGGTCAAAATGCAAATTCAAAGTGTATAACATAAATAAAACAGAACAAAGGAACGTGGCTTATAGTTTGACTCGAATCTGAAAGCAGTTTGTACCTGAATGAAATAAAAGATAAAGTATATTAAAAACACAAACTGTCCGTTAAATCAAATATACATACTTGGAGTTTGGTTGAGGTCTCCGGGTCTCCTCCTGCGGATCAGGAAGAAGAAGAAGACCCCCCCCAGCACCAGCAGGACCAGCAGGAGACCCCCCCCACAAAGTGAGGAGACCAGCACCATCACAGGAACTACCAGAGAAACACACAGTCAGTCATTTCCACACCGCATTATTAACCTCTTAAGCCCTGAGCCTGTTTTCCAGGTCTCAGGCTCGAAAATGCCATTCCCAGAACAAATGACCATATCTTCCCTTCTAAAAGGGTTACATTAATAATCTTTTTTCTCAAAGTAATGATAAACCTGTGAGTTGGATGTAGAAAAGTCAGAATCAATATAGATGTTTTTTATTTTAAAGAAAATTCAGATTGAACATAGTAAAAAACTGTAAATTATAGTGTCCGTCCAAAAATAAAAGATTACTTATAGTGAAAACTACCCTTGGATGATGGGTTAGTAGACTAAAAGCTTTAGGAATCCAAACTATAACATCTAATAAGTACCCTGTATCAAGATTGATGCAAAACAAGTGACATTTGACCTTTTTAGAGAGGTTTAGAAAAAAAAAAACACTTCTGGGGTCATTTGGGTGGATTTGCCGTATCTCTGGCCCCCCTTGGTCGATTTGGGTGATTGACACCTCTTTTTAACTGTTAGAGCCAATAGAATTGAGGGGGGGTTCCTAAATCCACCTACAAGTTACCATTGAGGAGTGGGAGTGATGCGCACGCAGTTTGCCCAAAACCGAAAGCTACGTTACGCTTTGAAAACTGAAAACTAGGCTTATTGACATAAATATGATGAAGGATTATCATATATATTATATATATAGTTTTTATGCGTTTTAATGCCCTTGAACACAACTTTTGATCAGAAAACAGCAAAGGTACGACGTATTTGCCGTTTTGGCTCCGTAAAGTGAAGTTGTGTGTTGTCTTTGCTGGCTTTCGCGAGTTTTGGTCGCACAGTGATGATACTTATACCATTGGAATCCGTGGAATCTCAGCTTCCATATGATATCAACTTTGTGCAGATCCGATGAAGTATACAATATTTCTACCGTGAGTTATGTGCTAAGTGCGTTAGCACTCTTTTGCTTAGTGCTAATTCAGAGGCGCGGCGTTAGACTTGTGTTTTGTTTTCGGTAAAAACGGTTCATATCGTCAGGTAGATGAGTTTCTTCCCATTAAGTGGGTTTGACACATTCATAGTTTGTTAAATGTTAAGAAGCCCTCAGACGCTGTTTCTTGCAAGATGGGGGCACCGGGTTTAACAGGTTAACTATTCATCTGATCGACCTACCGCTGATGTTTGTTTTGAACTGTCTGTGGTCTTGGGGTCCGGTTGGCCGAGGGACATTTACCTAAAGAGTTGGAATTATGTGCTTTTTCTTTAGTTATCAAAAGGTCAATTCACACATTGCCATTACTTTAAAACTTACCAAATATGCAGTTTCGTTCAGTTAGCGTACTGAAATATCCAATGTAAAGGTAGCCAGTTAGATAGACAGCTAATGTTTGCCAGCTAGCTAAATAGCACACTGACCATGGATGTATAAAGGGAACTAGATTGCATGACTTTGACTTATAACACAGTTTTTCTAGGATGTGATATTACACATTTTACTTAAAGGGGACCTATATACCTTGTATACATGAATATGTGTCCCCGGTGTTCCAGGGAACTCACCAAGTGTCAGAAAACACAACCCTCTCTATTTTCCTCCATACCCAAATCTCTAAAAAAGGGGCTGCAACGGATCTGATAAAAACTGATCCAGATTTGAACACTGTCCTGACGTCAGGACGGTGGCGCTACGGCTATTGGGCCAACTCCACCAATCAGGAGGAGAAAGCCACGGCCATTGCCGTTCGAAAGCGCTGGAGACGCTGTAGTACATATGCCAGGCCTGTAGGTGGTGCTGTTCTCACTGAATCAGCCCTTGCAAAAACAGAGCTAAAAAAGTGCAAATTGAGCGAAATGAGGCATGGCTAAAATGCATGATCTGTTTGGTATTTTGAAAAAAAAAAGTATAAATATGCCTTATATAGGTATGGTCCTACACTATATTATTATAATATAGCATGATAGGTCCACTTTAAGTTTAGTATCTGAGTACTACTTCTCCCTTTGCATTTAGTTTCCTCTTACATGTGATGATGACAGTGATGGGTGCTTCCTGTGTGGAGGTGAAGGTCCTGGAGGACAGGGTGACCTCGTACAGACAGCTGTAGTTTCCCTGCTGCTCAGGTCCGGCTGCAGGGAAGCTAAAGGAGGCCGAGTGGTTCACTGCCGGCCTGCGGACGTTAAGGCGGGACCCAGAGAAGAGGAGGGAGAAGAATCCTCCAGGATACTGAGGAGCAATGGAGCAGGTGAGGAGGAAGCTGTGACCTCTGGTGACCTCTGCACCTTCAGGGCTCCAGAACAACCCCCCGCTGGGCGACGTCAGAGAGAGGTTGGGCTGCTGCAGCGGCACTGAGGGGAAGAAGAAAAACAACAAGAACAACAACAACAAGAAAACATTACGGATCTGCAGGGATGTATATCTCAAATGTGTCCGCTTCAGTCAGAGCTGGTTAGTGTGTCAGGGAATGGGGCCCTCTGCTGGGACTGCTACCTCCACGACCTGACTCCAGATAAGATGGAGGGAAGGTAATCAATAAACCTCTCAATCCTCAATCCTCAAATCCTATTGAAAACATTCTGAGGACTGTATCGTCAGTGTCTTTGACTTTCTATCACCTTCACCTCACATAGCAAAGAACACTTTGCCAGACTGAACTCTTACCAGCTGTGGGCAGACAGCTCTGAAATTATGTTTTCTTTTATATAGAAATAATCTCAAACATAACTTAACGCTTACCAGAAACAGAGAGTCTGACGGAGTCACTGAAGGGAGAGCCTGAGCCTCGTATCTGATACTGACACCGGTACCATCCCTCATGGTCCAGGTTCACTTCCTGAATGCTGAAGGAAGCAGAGCTGCTACCTGGAGTTCTGGACTCTCTGAAGGAACTGGAAGTCTTTTCCAAGATGAACGTTGTCTTAGAAAACAGCGGTTGAGGTAAAGTTGATGAAGAACAGGTGATGCTGACGCTCTGACCCCAGATGACCTTAGGATACATGGACAGGCTGGGCTTTGGGAGTCTCTCTGAAAGATACAACAAAAAAACCGAAATATATCATCGCTGTCACAGCCTTTCTGATTGTCTTTTTTTTAAAGGTTGTGTGTCTAAGAAAAAGTTTAGAAAGTGGAAAAAAGTGCAATTAATATCAATATCATCAGACAGAAGCAGTGTTACTTGCATAATGAAAGAAAAAGTTGAAAAAGAAATGAGACCTAATTTTTATATAATGTTCTTTTTATTGTTATTAATGTCAGGCCCTAGTTTTTGGCTCATCTGCTTCCTCTTTTTTGGAAACAGTTTTCTACCCTTCCTGTCTTTGTGTGTTTTCCAGCGTGCTGCTTTTCTGTTCTGGATCATTTCAGGGTCTGACTACAGCTCTGTTCTGATTGTCTTGCCTTACCTTGCCGTCATTATTCCTAAAACTAAAGTATATTCTGTTTGAAGTTCCTGTTGCCTGCTTTTTCTGGCCTTTGGGTTCGTTTATTAATGGATGGTAAAAAATGATATCTCTGGTCTTGATATGCTGAATATTACTTGGTTGGATGTAATCATGTTTTGAGTTTTTGGTCTTGAGAATGATTTTATGGAATGCAAACAAAAGAAAAAGGAATTGTTCTGATACCCCTGGTACCTTTGAGCTAGCTGAAAAGAAGCTGACTTTGAGAAGATAAAAACTAATATCCTCTCACCTGAACAGACCACACCAGCGTCCTCACCGTGTCCACAGTTATGAGTCCCAAATCCTCGATGGGTACAATCAGTCACAGAACTTTCACTTCCTGAACAGCCGACATCATCAAGCCAGATTGGTCCGGTCCCCTCACCATAGTGGGCTGAGTGAGGGGCCCTCAGCGCAAAACCACAGCCCAACTGTCTGCAGACGACCTGAGCATCGTCTAGACCCCAGTTATCATCACACACTGTTCCCCAGGTACTGTTGTGGAAGATCTCAACTCTCCCAGAGCAGTTATTGGACCCAGAGCCAGCCAATCTGACCTGATCTATAAAACATTGAATATAATATTTAAGTACTTTAATGTAAACTGAAAACCAAAAGGATGTATGCATCACACCATAACCTTGACTGACCTGCAGCAGGTGAAGATGAGGTCAAGAGAAAAGAGACTAGCAGCAAAATTAAAAGTGCAGACATAAAAAGTTTCACTTATTCCTGATTAAAATGTCTTTGGCCTGAGAACTGTAAAAATAGTCTCAAGAGATGTCATGTCTGTTCCATGCAATAACTCAGACAGGCAGGTCAAAGCAAATGCTGCTTTAACATTCAGTTTTGGAATATTATTCTTGCCAATGGCCAAATGTCTCGAGCACTTCCTCTCTCTAGTCATATAGGGTTATTTTAAATCCCAGGCTGCAGTTTGGTTTGCTGCTGACTAACATATACTTATATGCTGATGATACTATACACTGAAGGCAATAAGAGGAACTCAAAGGTCAGAGTTTCACAGCCAAACCTCTGTGTTTTAACACTTTTAAAGACATAAAGGCCTTGTTCCTTCTCTCTTTCAGATACGATGATGTTTGAAACCAACACTGGTTCCTCTCAAAGTAATACAATAGCTTCATTAACACAGACTTTATCCCAGAAATGCACAAAGGGGGGGGGCATGAATTTGGCTTTCATTGAGAACTATTGGATGGATTGCATTTCGTAACTGACGTGACTTTAAGAATAAATAAAATATCCTCTCACCTGAACAGACCACACCGGCGTCCTCAGAGTGTCCACAGTTATGAGTCCCAAATCCTGGATGGGTACACTCAGTCACAGAACTTTCACTTCCTGAACAGCCGACATCATCAAGCCAGATTGGTCCGGTCCCCTCACCATAGTGGGCTGAGTGAGGGGCCCTCAGCGCTGAACCACAGCCCAACTGTCTGCAGACGACCTGAGCATCGTTTAGATCCCAGCTATCATCACACACTGTTCCCCAGGTACTGTTGTGGAAGATCTCAACTCTTCCAGAGCAGCGATTGGACCCAGAGCCAGCCAATCTGACCTCAGCATCTATAGGACACGATGATGTAAAATATTAAAGTACTTTAATGTAAACTGAAAACCAAAAGGATGTATGCATCACACCATAACCTTGACTGACCTGCAGCAGGTGAAGATGAGGTCAAGAGAAAAGAGACTAGCAGCAAAATTAAAGTGCAGACATAAAAACTTTCACTTATTCCTGATTAAAATGTCTTTGGCCTGAGAACTGTAAAAATAGTTTCAAGAGATGTCATGTCTGTTCCATGCAATAACTCAGACAGGCAGGTCAAAGCAAATGCTGCTTTAAAGGGGACCTATCATGCAAAATGCACTTTTGTACGTCTTTTATACATGAATATGTGTCCCCGGTGTTCCAGGGAACTCACCAAGTGTCAGAAAACACAACCCTCTCTATCCCCGAGGCAAGCGTTTGCTCCCGCTGCTTTAATTCAATGCAATCCCTCCCCGTCGAGGCAAGCACTGTAATTCTCTCCGGTTAGTCCACCAGCAGATGACAAACACCCACCTCTCCGCCTCTTCCAAGGAACGAGGGGACCGTGCGGCAGAGTTTCAGTTTCAGTTTCTGTCGCCGGTCAAGATGTCCGTTAAAGTTGAAATCTTCCGGACAAAATGAGAAAAGTGCCGGTCAAAGGTCTTCTTTGTTATTTATTGAGCTTTAAAACAAATGAATAACGACTCTATATAATAAGACACGGAGGACGGAGATCTCTTTTTCTCCCCCTCTTCTGACAGCCCAGCAGCTGATCAGAGCACGCCTCCCCTCTCCTGCAGGGGGGCGTGGTCAGCAGAATCAGACCCGTAGACAGCAAACCAAAAAAGGGAGCGTTTGAAAAAAATGCGCGGGTCCGCTCAGTGAAACAATAACGAAACATGGAGGAACAAAAGTCTGCGTTTAAATCCTGTGTCTCTGTGTGTGTGTGTGTGTGTGTGTGTGTGTGTGTGTGTGTGTGTGTGTGTGTGTGTGTGTGTGTGTTTGTAGAGGTGTGTGTGGTTAAAACACATCAGCCTGCGGTCGCTCGTTAGCCTTTCTAATGATTCTGAAGGTAAACACAGTGAAGGCACTGCACGCTCCTCTTCTCAGAGGCTGAGTTAACCGTCCCGCTGCCTCCTGGTGCTGCAGAGATTTCATGAAGTGAAGGAGGTTTTATAAACCAGCTGTGGGCAGCAGATACTGTGAGTGTCACGTACATGAATTCATAGATCAAGGCAGACTGGTGCACACTCTCCTGTTTTGCCAATCCGGTGCTTAAACAAATATAGCTCTACACCCCTGGCCGAAATGTCCTTAAAATGAAGTCAGAGTTCGACATTTTAATTCATGTCCTGCCAACACTGGCAGGACAGAAGGCGACACGCCCGTTCTAAGCCGTGTCCCTCACGCTCAAGCTTCCGGTTTCGCTATGAGTGGTCGCATTTCCGAGAGCTCCCGCATTGGAGGTTATTCCTCACGATTTTTCACATATTTCATCCTCCTGACAATATGGATTATGGACTCCTACCTCAACTCATCAATGAGGCAACATCACTTAGTGAAGGAGAGTAATGAAAGCGGGGATAAAATGAACCACAATGACTTTTACCTTCTCAACGGCTGGGAAAGGAAACACCTCGCTTTTGGAAGTGCAAGCATTCATGCATTATTAACTGCAAACCCGACGCGAAAGTACTTACCCCCGTCAGGCAAACTAGACCGAAGAAGTATGATCGTCTTGGTCTTATTGTTAGCGGGAGACATCCATCTGAATCCGGGCCCGGTGCAGACAAGAAGCCAGTCCTGCAGGCTGGAGGAGCTAGCATCACAACTAGCATCTCTTCCGCTGCAGCAACAACTACGCGACGACAACAGAGACAGCGGAGACCGAGGAATCAACGGAGACTTCGACATTCCCCCGAGGACGCCTCGGCAGACAGACATGCATGAGGCAGTGACGAGAGGAAGAGAACCGAGATCCGAGGGAACAAATATCCTATCCGTGACATATGGATCTTAACAAAGATCCGCTATACAGTAGTACCAGACATACTGTACATCTACCGTACTGTATCAGACTTTATTTCACATGAGCTCCAGTGTGGAACCCCACTGCACCCCCTGGTGGATCAATGATCCATTGCAGCTGGCTTCATTATAATTACATTTATTAATCAAGGGGGCGGTCTCAAGTCACGCTGGAGGTTGTCCTTTGAGCGAGGGCAGAGCCTGTGCCGACAACGGCCCTCGCATTTTAAACTGTCCGAAATGAGGTGCTACATCTGTATATGGTGATGTTACTATACACTGAAGCAGGGGTATGTTTGACCCACACAAAGTGTGTGATCACAATTTTATGTTTATATTGTAGTGATCACTGATTCATACACTGGGGTTACATAATTCAATCCAGGAACTACAGGTTGGGGGTATTGTTTCCGCACGGACATATATGTTGACGGTACCTCCGGGGTACCTACTGTGTGTCCTCCTCTTTCATTTTCTCTTCTCTCCTGTGCCTTCGACCCGACAGCATGTCAGTTTCTGCTCCCCAATAAAGCGAGATTTGCACCTCCGATGCACCGCCTCCGTCTCTCTTCTCTCTGCACTACATTGGTGACCCTGACGTAAGTCTCGCGAAGGATCCGAGACTGAATCGAACACGGCAAAAAGCGCAGCTTTTCTCGAAATGCCAGGGATTTTTGGAGACCTCCGTAGCTGCCTCGTGCGCTCGGACTGTGGCTCGGTGCGCCCCACGGAATGGACGCGGACGACGCTCGCCATTTCCACGGCTTTTCGGCTCTGGGGGACGGCAAGCCTTCCATGGGGCCGGTACGCGACCGTGCCGGGTTTGTTCGGGACATGCGGCTGCATGTCCGGCCAGCGACTGACGGCCGCCGAGAACAGCTAGCCACGACTGCTAACGGCTAGCAGCTGGCAACAGCTAACGACGGCTAGCCACAGCAGCTAGCGGCTATCGACATCCGACTGTTTTATTTTTTTTGTGGTGCCTGTGAGGAGGTTCGATCAAGTCTGGTCGGCCTCGCGTGGATCCTCTCGCTATTTCGCCCACCTGTTTTTGTTCGTGGACGGGACGACCATTTTTGAGCTTTTTCTGGTGCCTGAGAGGAGGTTCGACCATGTCTGGTCGGCCTCGTGTGGACCCTCTCGCTTTATCACCACCTCGACGGCGGTGACGCGCTTCTGGACCCCGTCTCGCCTCTTCCCTCGCCTCTGCGGTTTCGAACGTCACCCGTGCCTTCATCAGCCCGCGGGTGGCGCGCTTCGGGACCCTGCCTGGCCTCTCCTCTAACCGCGGCTCACGGTTCGCCTCGACGGCGCCCCGTCTGGCCTCTCCCCTGTCCACGGCTCTTTCCTCCCGGGGACACGGCTCCTTCCTCCCGAGGACTTCGTGCCCGCCGCCGCTGTGCCTTCGCCTGCGGCCGGGCAGCGCTCCTCCCTGCCGACCCTGCTTTCTGCGGCCCCCTGACGACGGCCCGTTCCGGCCCGCCCCCCACCCCCCGGTGGGGATGCCCTCGCCCTCGTTGGGGCCCCTACCCTCTCCTGCGGCCCCCTGACGACGGCCCGTTCCGGCCCGCCCCCCACCCCCCGGTGGGGATGCCCTCACCCTCGTTGGGGCCCCTACCCTCTCCTGCGGCCCCCTGACGACGGCCCGTTCCGGCCCGCCCCCCACCCTCCGGTGGGGATGCCCTCGCCCTCGTTGGGGCCCCTACCCTCGCCGGCGGCCCCGCCCTCCTCGGCCCCTGTGGTGCTTCCTCCCGACGCGAGGATTGTGTCCATGGTTGAATTCTGGGGGGGCTTGTGTAGTGATCACTGATTCATACACTGGGGTTACATAATTCAATCCAGGAACTACAGGTTGGGGGTATTGTTTCCGCACGGACATATATGTTCACGGTACCTCCGGGGTACCTACTGTGTGTCCTCCTCTTTCATTTTCTCTTCTCTTCTGTGGCTGCGACCCGACAGCATGTCAGTTTCTGTTCCCCAATAAAGCGAGATTTGCACCTCCGATGCACCGCCTCCGTCTCTCTTCTCTCGGCACTACAATATTTAATATCATTTTATATTACCTGTTTAACAATGGACAGCAGGGGGCAGTAGATGGCAGAGTAACACTGCCGTGAAGGGGTTTGTTATTATTTACGTGTCTGCCGTAAAATGTCTGACGTGATGACGGAGCTGTCGTTAGCTTGGCATTCTGGCAAGACCCGCCAAACGAGCAGCAAAAGGAATTCTCTGCTCATCATTTCTCCTGCTCTACAGGTCAGTAATGTGTACAGATTGTCACAAATGTTATAAATCACAATGTCTTAAGTTTGAAGTGATGTTTAGATGTTGGTTATTATGTTTGATGCCGTTTAATGCCGCGTAGAAGACCACCTCGTGGTGGCTGTGTGTGTATGTGTAATGGCGGTCGCTATTTAAATGTAGTAGACTCGCGCTCCCTGATGAAAGTGAATGCAAGCGAATTGTTTATAGCTAACAAGTGTTTTAGGTGTGTTTTGTATTGTCTATGTGTCCTATGGTCAGTCATCATTTAATTATTATAAATGCGTGTTGCTTGATGCTAATGCTAGCATATATTAGAGCAATGCTAATGCTTTGCCTGAAAAGGTCATCAACAGTGTTTGAATACAGCACCAATATCTGTTTTGAAGCAGTACATTCTTATTTTGAGTCATGATGTTAATGACAATTGGGTATACACAAATGTCTTTATTTTAAATACTTCAAGCATTCAAGTATATTTGAAGACATGAACATGTGTTTATATTGAGAGCAGTAAAGGGCAAGAACAATTGTGTTTTGTTTTGTGCCAATTGTTAATAAATTCTGGCAAGACCCGCCAAACGAGCAGTAAAAGGAATTCTCTGCTCATAATTTCTCCTGTTTTACAGGAATATCATGTGTCATCGCGCCCTGCATAGCGGGGTCTGTTACATATGCAACCTTTTTTAGGATGAGAGCGACTTTCAAAAAATAAAACAAGTCGTGAGCTACTTTTGCTCCTCTTTTTCTTTTTTTTTGCAGTGTATATATTTAGCACATTTGAACATTATGATATGCTGACCTTTAACCTTTGTGTGCTGTTTGGGTCTGTGGGACCTTTTGCAGTGTTTACTAAAAGAACATGTATGCAATCTCATTATTTTAACCTGCTTTATTTGGGGGGGTCCTAACCTCCTCCAGGGGGGTCCTCACCTCCTCTAAGGGGGTCCTCACCTCCTCCAGGGGGGTCCTCACTAGGGATGCCAGAAACTGACTATGATCAAATTCGAAAATCGGACAGCCCTGGCGAATATTAATCGATTATTCGCCACTCTCTCTCTCTCTCTCTCTCTCTCTCTCTCTCTCTCTCTCTCTCTCTCTCTCTCTCTCTCTCTCTCTCTCTCTCTCTCTCTCTCCCTCTCTCTCTCTCTCTGTCTCCCTCTCTCTCTCTCTCTGTCTCGCTCGCTCTCTCTCTCTCTCTGTCTCGCTCGCTCACAGAGGCTGCGTGCTCCTCCGTGGCGATGGCGGCTTGCGTTAAAAAATAATAATAAACATATTTGTACAGATGGAGCATCTTATTTCAGACTCCAGCTTACTGCTTCCTGCCTACTACCTGCCAGTTACCTGCCTAAGACCTGCCAAAGACCAGTATCTGGGAATGTTAAGCCCTCCCACTATTTTCCAAGAGGGTGTTGCCAGATTTTCAATTTCAGGATTTAACCAGGAGATGGCGCTATATATTAAATAACTATGGCCAAACTAAGACTTAGTTTTTCACAAGAGAAAATGCAGATATTATATAAAAAACTAAAGTTAAAATCTTGTTTTTAATGCCCCAAGAGCAATAAAAACACTTGTTAAAAAATTGTCAATGTTTGCAATCCCCAGGATGTGTCCTTATCAAACCAAAATAGAAAATGCAGATATTACACTCAGACATTGGAAAAGTCTATGTTAAAAAGCCTCAGTCATGTTCAGATATGTTACTATTTATAATGTTATTGTTGTTACAACAGAAGATGTTTTTCTTTATATTGAAGTTAAATGCATCAATCTGGTGCACTTTGAGGTCAAAATTAAGAGATTTATGGATACCGCTGGAAAAAGCTGCAGTACATATGCCGAGCCTGTACGTAGCGCTGTAACTTCCTCCACAAAAGCAGCCTTCTTTTTATTCAACGTGGTGGGGGCCGAGGGAACCGGGCAGAGTTTTTCGCCGGTCAACGTGTGTGAAAGTTTAAATCTTCCTTATTGAGCTTTAAAACAAATGAATAACGACTATATATAATAATAAAATAAACACCGGCTGTTGTTATGCCTGCTGTAACGTTAAATTACTCCGTTCTCCGCTTAAGTAATTATGCCGTTACAAGCTTCATAGTTGTATTTATCATCTAAATTTGCCGAAACAAGTTTAATATTCTGAAAGCCAAGACTTTGTTTATTTGAAATCAGATGAAAACAAACTGTAACGGACCCTGCCGTGTTATCTTGATATTTCCGGCACAGACCCTTTCATACCGGCAATGCGCGATAGAAACAACAGGAACTGCGACAGCATAAATATGCGAACACAAACCTACAGACTGCTGGAGAAGAGATATCACAGTTGGGACACACACATTCCAATGGCCAATTAGTTTTAAACAAAGAGTATAGCCTACTCAACATAGGGGGGTGGGGGCTGGTGAACGGTATGGTCAATGTTTGTAAACACTGTGACATTTTGACTTTATTTGTCATATTTGGAGCGTTATGTTAGAATGAAACAGCCAGGTCGTGACTCACAAAAAAAAAGTGTTACTTCACTAACTGTAAGCTTGTCACTCAGAGTAACCTACAGTTAACTTAACTGTTGGAAAAGACACACAGCTGAGAGCTGCCGTTTCATTCTGACTGTTTAAAAAACGGTAACAACGGACTATTTTTTTTAGCGGATGCATGTCAATTTAAATCAATACATACAACTATTTTTTAAATCAATAAAAACATTTTCTAAATCCATAAAAGCATTTCAATTAATATTGGGAGTCATGTCGTTACTTTGTTGAGAATGTGGCCATGTTATAAGCGGGATAATTTGCAGCGACTTGGTCATTATGGGGAAAAATAACACCCAGGGATCAAGATCCCTCCGCTACGCGGATCTTGATCTGCCTGACAAGGCTCCATTAAAATATAAATATTTTTAGTGAATTACTGAGTTTAGGCACGTTAATAACATTTTAATGAAGTTGAATACAGTATATTCATATTTGTCAGTGATTTCATGTCAATTCGGCGAACATAAACATAAATGATCGTGGTGAAGGTGATGATTAAATTAGGATTAAAAATCGAGAGCCGGCTGCATTTCCTCTCGTTCGTTTTTTTTCGACTAAACAACATTATTTTGTTAAATAACAACATGGTGATGTTTTGTAAATGATTACATGTCTTATTTAGCACAGACTATGATCCTATCCGCTATACATTAGTACCAGACATACTGTACATTGTGGTGATTGACATTATTCACCCACGGATCTATGGGTTGGGGTATTGTTTCGCACGGACATTTTAGTGAACCGGACCAGCTGTTTCCGCCGGTCTTCGCTTCCCAGGCATGAAGTTGTTTACATGTGTGTTCAGATGCTAAATAAAAGTTTAGCTTGTACTTTTGATACCCCGCCTCCGACTCCCGTCTCTCGGCACCACAACACCCAGTTTACTGTATCGAAGTTGATTTCACATGAGCTCCAGTGTGGAACCCCACTGCACCCCTGGTGGATCAATGATCCATTGCAGCTGGCTTCACAATAATTACATTTATTTATCACGGGGGCGGTATCAAGTCAGACTGGGGGCTGGCTCTTCATCACGAACCGATCACGGGCCGATCACGGACCAATCACGGACCAATCACGACCCTCGCGTTTCAAACTGTCTGAAATAAGATGCTCCATCTGTAAAGTGGAGGGACACAAACGGGATTTCGGGACATGTCCCCCCTGTCCCCAGTGGAAATTACACCATGCGTGTGTGTGCCTCAAGTGCAATACATATATAGGCCTATGCAAGTTGCAACACACACACAGTAAAGCTCTGCCCCTCATGTGCTGCATAGGCTGCATGATAGGCTGCTCAATGGGGCTGATGTGTTGTAGATTCTGCCAGAAGGAAAGGTCACACTCCTTATGAAGCGGTGAGCTGCCGCTCCACATTGCTTTTCTTCCCGACTGCAACGCTGGTCCCGCAAATCAAGCAAGAACGTGATTGGTCGATATTCATTGTGGGGGTGGGGGGAGGAGGGGTGTTAGATAGATATAGAGTTGTAGTAAGTAGATAGAGTTCGCTATGATTGAGGTTTCGTTTATGCATAGGGTAGATTCTTTTAATTACATTTCCTTTTTTGTTTTGTGTATTTTATACATTTTGGATTTGCTTGGCGAGCTATTTTTAGAACATGCCCCGCGGGCGACTCACGTTGCCCGTGCGGGCGACTAAGTGCCCGCGGGCACCGTGTTGGCTACCCCTGCACTGAAGGCAATAAGAGGAACTCAAAGGTCAGAGTTTCACAGCCACTTTTAAAGACATAAAGGCCTTGTTCCTTCTCTCTTTCAGATTCGATGATGTTTGAAACCAACACTGGTTCCTCTCAAAGTAATACAATAGCTTCATTAACACAGACTTAATCCCAGAAATGCACAAAGGGGCGGGGGGGCGGGGGGGGTGTGGCATGAATTTGGCTTTTATTGAAAACTATTGGATGGATTGCATTTCGTAACATGGTCCTGACACGGTGCATTGACTTTAAGAATAAATCAAATATCCTCTCACCTGAACAGAACACACCAGCGTCCTCACCGTGTCCACAGTTATGAGTCCCAAATCCTGGATGGGTACACTCAGTCACAGAACTTTCACTTCCTGAACAGCCGACATCATCCAGCCAGATTTGTCCGGTCCCCTGACCATAGTGAGGGACCCTCAGTGCTGAACCACAGCCCAACTGTTTGCAGACGACCTGAGCATCGTCTAGATCCCAGCTATCATCACACACTGTTCCCCAGGTACTGTTGTGGTAGATCTCAACTCTTCCAGAGCAGTGATTGGACCCAGAGCCAGCCAATCTGATCTGACCGTCTATAGGACACAAAAAACATGATGTAAAATGTTAAAGTCCTTTACAGTAAACTTAAAACCAAAAGGATGTATGCATCAGACCATAACGTTGACTGACCTGCAGCAGGTGAAGATGAGGTTAAGAGAAAAGAGACTATAAAGAGAAGAGAAGAAACGGCAGGGCCGATTACTTTCAGGAAAATATGAAGGAATCAAATATCTACTTCCTGTTTTAGACTTAGTTTTAAGAGACATCCTGTTTAGACCAAACGATAAATCTGCTATGCATGCAAAGGAAATGCTCCTTTAAAATTGAGTTTTGAAATATGGATCTTACCGATGAGCAAAGGGTGCAGGTTTCTCTGCTGTTTGCTCCCCATGGCTGACTCTAAGACTGCCTCATCTATCAGTGAGGGAACAGGCAGAAGGACACTTAACTTAAAGCCACTGTGCCCAGACAGACTTCCCACGGTAAGAACACTTCCTCTTTCTGGAGATTATTTTTAATGTACAGCGTGCCAGTGTGGTTTGCTGCTCACTTACTTGTACTTATTTGGCAATAAACTGTACCTCGAGAGAAATAAGAGGAACTCAAACGTCAGAGTCTCACCGCCAGACCTCTGTATTTTAACACTTTTAAAGACGCCTTGTTCCTTCTCTTTTACAGATAAGAAATGTTTTTGAACCAAGACTAGTTCCTGTTCACAAAATACACACCCTTCCTTATCACACACTTTTGCTCTTCAAAGAATGGGTGGCAGCAGATACATGTTGAAAATGTTTTAAACAATTTATGGATTTTGTATTTTACATTTTAGAAACCAATAGCATGACTTTCAGTTCTGCACAAACAGACCACGAGAGAGAACAAATATATTAACGACCCGTCCACACAGCAGCGTTAAAAAAATCTTCCAACGCTTCTGCCCATTCACTTTGAATGGGGTGACGTCACTTTGCCTCACTTTTCGCCGAACTGCATTGTGGGAAGCAGAGCGGAGATTTCCAGGCATCTCAGGCTTCAAAAGTTGAGCAATGTTCAACTTTTGAAGCTGAGGTGGAAGCGTCAGCCAATCAAATCCTGTGTATGCAAATCTGACAGTTCAAGCTCTAGCCAATCAAACCACGTGTATGCTGGGAGAGACATACCGCAGGTCATTTCCTCATATTCCAAAACATGGAGGAGAAATGAGCGGTAGGGAATCACCCGGTGCTTTAGGACCAGTCCCTATTTACCTACCGGGATACAAACCGGAGGAGCCAGGCATGGAGGGAGGTGGCAGAGACAGTGGTAGCTTTTCGCCTGTTTGGGGAGTATATATCCAGTTTACTTCGGGCTTTTTGGCTTCGTATGTCGGGGGCGGGAGATTCATGTGATTGGTTGTTGGTCGCGTTGCTCGAAAAAATCCCCAAGCTTCAGATACGCCCACCTCCAAGATTTTTTTAACGCTGCTGTGTGGACGTACCGTTACAGACTGTCTAGTCGGCATTCCAACTTTACCCTGCAAGATCCTGTCCCCTTCTGAGGCCGGTGCCAAGTCCCACATCCTCCAAAGGATTAGCGCCAAATACTTTGCGCTCAAGAGGGGTACGTCCTATTCCTTCGTCCTCAGGAGGGGTACCACCAAATCCTTCATTGTCAAGAGGGGTACGGCCATATCCTTTGTCCTCAAGAGGGGTACGGCCAAATCCTTCACCTTCCAAAGAGGTACAGCCAAATCCTTCGTCCTCAAGGGGGGTACGGCTAATCTTTCGTTCTCAAGAGAGGTACGGCTAATCTTTCGTCCTCAAGGGGGGTACCGCCTATTCCTTCGTCCTCAAGAGGGGTACCGCCTATTCCTTCGTCCTCAAGGGGGGTACCGCCTATTCCTTCGTCCTCAAGAGGGGTACGGCTAATCTTTCATTCTCAAGAGGGATATGGCCAAATCCTTCATCCTCAAGAGGGGTTCTCCAAGTCCTTCATCCTCAAGAGGGGTACCTCCCAATCCTTTGTCCTCAAGAGGGGTACCGCCAAATCCTTTGTACTCAAGAGGGGTACCTCCCAATCCTTTGTACTCTAGAGGGGTACGGCCTATTCCTTCGTCCTCAAAAGGGGTACGGCTAATCCTTCATCCTCAAGAGGGGTTCTCCAAGTCCTTCATCCTCAAGAGGGGTACCTCCCAATCCTTTGTCCTCAAGAGGGGTACCTCCCAATCCTTTGTCCTCAAGAGGGGTACCTCCCAATCCTTTGTCCTCAAGAGGGGTACCTCCCAATCCTTTGTCCTCAAGAGGGGTACCTCCCAATCCTTTGTCCTCAAGAGGGGTACCGCCAAACCCTTCGTCCTCGAGGGGTACTGCCAAACCCTTAGCCATCGAAAGGGGTACAGCCAAGAGCCATGTCCTCCAGTGTTCTTTCTCCTGAGGCTTCAGTCCTGCCTCCTGGCTGTCCTCCAGAAAGGGGTCGTACTGTCTTTCTTGACCCCAGGATTTTAAAGGCATGATTAGGTTGTGTGGAACCAGTGCACAACATTATTGAAGTCCCTCCCATGTCTGCAAAACCAGAAGGAAAACATAGCTATTGGGCTTTTTCAATTAAAGTTAAAGACAGTAAATAATAAAATACAGAATGGAGATATTTCAAATGGGACACCCTAACAAGCCACTTATCAGGAAGTATTTCAAATATAGCCTACTAACACATCTAGAAGGAGAGAGAGTTTATGTATTAGGACTCTATTTGAATCACTTTCAGGTAATCAGTAACTATAGCTTCAGCTTGTACCAGAAGGTTAGAGACCCCAGTGAATGCAACGGGAGAAAGGTTATGCAGAAAATCAATATTTATATCTATATCAATATTTCTGTCTGTCTTCTTCTGAATATCTCTCACTTTAATTCTCAAATCTTGTGTGATTGTCCTCCCAGAATAAAGCGTCTTCACAGGCTCTGCAGGGGGTAGTGTGTGTAGGTGTGTGTGATTGTGACTCGGCATGCAGTTGTGTTATTTGTGTTTGCATGTGCGTAAGTTCATAAGGGCCTGACGTCCTGCAGTAATAAAGGCCAGGAGAGAGAGTGTGTGTGTGTGTGTGTGTGTGTGTGTGTGTGTGTGTGTGTGTGTGTGTGTGTGTGTGTGTGTGTGTGTGTGTGTGTGTGTGTGTGTGTGTGTGTGTGTGTGTGTGTGTGTGTGTGTGTGTGTGTGTGTGTGTGTGTGTGTGTGTGTGTGTGTGCTGCAGATGACGTTCCCCTGGTATCCCTGAGGTGATTTGGGCACCACAGATACCATCAAGAACAAACACACCCACCCACCCACACACACACAAACACACACACACACACACACACACTCTGCAGGAGCTGTGTGTGTTCACAGTTATGAGGTCCTAATGATGACGGATGCTTGGCTCTGAGGCGGCACTCTCCTGCAGACTCAACTCCTCAGAGGGACGCTTAACACCAACCGCCAGCTCATCATATCACACACACACATACACACATACACACACACACACACAACTCATCTCAATAATCTGATTTCAGCTGTGTGTTCTGTTGACTGCTCCACAACAAAGGGCAGACTGACTGTAAGTATGTTGAAGATAAGAGACTCCTCGGGTCATTTATTTTCTTTTACTACAGAACATTTCACTTTTAACAAATACAGAGCTGCAGGGATTGTATTCCTCTGTTGGTCCCTGAAGGCAGCATCTCCCTGGTCCAATGGGATTCCTCCATGTGATTTTAGATTATTTCAGAAAATAATCTCTGTGTGAAACAAAAATGTATTTCAGCAAGATAATCTCCACATATTAACACCACTATGATTTCTGAAGTAAAAAGCTAATGTTAGGCTATAAAGGAACTACAGCACGGTCACATGACTTCACGTCACCACCGCTAAGCTAAAGGTGGCTAATGTTGGGCTATAAAGGAACTACAGCACGGTCACATGACTTCACCTCACCACCGCTAAGCTAAAGGTGGCTAATGTTGGGCTATAAAGGAACTACAGCACGGTCACATGACTTCACCTCACCACCGCTAAGCTAAAGGTGGCTAATGTTGGGCTATAAAGGAACTACAGCACGGTCCCATGACTTCACGTCACCACCGCTAAGCTAAAGGTGGCTAATGTTGGGCTATAAAGGAACTACAGCACGGTCACATGACTTCACGTCATCACCGCTAAGCTAAAGGAGGCTAATGTTGGGCTATAAAGGAACTACAGCACGGTCACATGACTTCACGTCACCACCGCTAAGCTAAAGGTGGCTAACGTTAGGCTATAAAGGAACTACAGCACGGTCACATGACTTCACGTCACCACCGCTAAGCTAAAGGCGGCTAATGTTGGGCTATAAAGGAACTACAGCACGGTCACATGACTTCACGTCACCACCGCTAAGCTAAGCTAAAGGTGGCTAATGTTGGGCTATAAAGGAACTACAGCACGGTCACATGACTTCACGTCACCACCGCTAAGCTAAGCTAAAGGTGGCTAATGTTGGGCGTGATGACGTTTATTCGTCTCATTTCGACACTTGTTAGCAACCTCCGTTTTTAAGTACACCAGTGGGGTATTTAATAACGTATTTTAATTGGTAGAATTAAACGTTAAGGCCTAACACAGATTGTGTTAACCACAGACCTTAATTCAGAATAACAAAAAACACATTCAGGAAGCCATTGACCGTTTACCCTACTCCAAAAATAAAAGGCTACAGATGTCGTATGACTTCACTCATGAACAAATTGTGATTTGCAAACACCAAACACCATCTACAAACTAATGCATTTTGTATTACAAATAAAAAATACACCTATCAACAAACAAAGGATTTTATGAATCCTCATGTTTCCCAGTGCTCAAAATGATTAAGTATGTATATCATATGTAAGGTACTGAAAATACAGGCACATTACATATTAACATACATTGTAAGCAGTCGGAGAAAAACCGGGGAAATGTTTTAAAGCTCCACAGTCGCGCTGCCTCCTGACGGCACACTAACGTCACGCAGCTCCTGCAGCTTCAGTTAGAGCCTCTCTCTGCAGGACACGCATCAGAAAACAGACAATAACTCTGAGTCACACACCAGTGTGCGTTCCTCGACATGTGATGGACGACAGGATGAAACAGACATTAGATCCTGACCTGGAGCTGTGTGTGAAACGACTTATTACTCCTGCACCTGGTCCATTCATCTACCAGAACACTGATATTATCCTTACTGTGACAGATGTCCTCTCATGGATAATATCACAGTTCTGTGGTATAACAGTGGTTTGGGTTTTGTCAGCTATTGTGAGTCACTTTGGATCAACATGTGCACCAAATGGTTTGATAGTTGAGACATGCTGCAGCTGATTCATCTGAGCATTAGCATGTAGTGTCCACAACACCGTAAACCAGTCAGGATGCTCCTGCTGCCTTCAAACTGCACAACAAAACCCAATACTACTGAGAAATAAGCCGATAC